TTTATTCTCTTATTTTTCTATAACTATAATGATCATATAAAGATGTGCCTTTACCTCACTGGTTGGAGAAAAAGCTTCTTATATTCGTTAGCATAGCTAGCTAACCAGATGCTAATAACAACAACGTTATTGACTGTATGATCAGCATGACAGATGAACAGATCGCCACTGGGCTTTCAACTAAAGACACAGCCACGCAAAAACTGCGGCATGTGTACAGCTCCTTATGGGTATTGCAATTTGTGAAGTCCCGGCCCGGAGCCGCGTTCTGGTGCTCTCCGTTAGAACTACACTCCTGTCAGACGAGACATATACCACGTGATGACACGTTAGGCTCGTGTTGTGTTCAAGGACCCTGACCTTGGCCAGGAAAAACAAGCTTGTTTAATTATTTTGCGGTCTAGATTTCTTGAATTTTTTTCTTTTTTGCGTGTGTTTATAAATTACCTCGAGGGCCGTACCAAATGGTCTCGCGGGCCGTATACGGCCCGGAGGTTCCCCACCCCTGTCCTAGACTGATGTCAACTGTCATCATAGACCGTCCGAGCGGTGCATTCCAGGCTCAAATCAAGCGCACCGCTGATTTTTTTTTCCTCCTTCAAAATATGCTGGTGTTGAAGCCGTGTCAGAAAAGAGGCAGACTGCTAAACCACAAAACTTAGTCAGAAAGGGCATCAAGGCCACTGTGGCCTTATGGCAGATATCAACGAAAACTAAGCATAGCTAAATTTTTTTTGTAACGTGTATATAATTGTAAATTTACTAATTTTGTACAATTTCCTTGTCATTATTTTTTGAATTAATATTTGCGGACACTTTTATAAGATGTTTTTTTTGTACGCAATTTTTTTTACTTTCGTCTAATTATTTTTCAAAGGTCTACTCCTTTCTAAGATATTATTTTTTTGAGGGCTAATAACGGGCGAGAACCGGGCGACGGAACACAAAGACCAAAGGGTTAGGCCCAAAAAACGAAACCGACTGGGGGAAAGTTTGGCTACGGAGAACAGTTTGGGCGCAAATATTTACACGGTGGGTCTACTCACAATCCGAACAAGGGTGGGAGACAGGTGAGCGGTGCCACCAATAAACCACCGAACCGGGTTTGGCCCGACAGTAATCCAAAAGGAACAAAGGGGGTGTATTGTTGTAAGGGTGTTAAGAAATTGTGGATTAACGTTATTGTTGGTGTTAACATTCCTCGGTTCCATTGGGGGAACGTTCAAACTTTGAAAAAGAACCATAACCTAAAGTCACTTTAACTGGATTCAGGGGCCGTTGGTGCCCTGGGGTGGCTCCCTTTCGAAACCGGGCCTATTTTTTTTTTTTTTCAGGGGGGTTGTAAAACCAAGAAGGAATTCCCGCTTAGTGGAATTTGCCCCTGACTTGGTCACACCAAAGCAGGGTTATGAGAAACCCCTTATACGCGGGACAAAGCGCGGGCACAGACAGACCCAGTTTTTGGTCAAAAAACCGGACTTGGTCGGGTTTTCGATTGGTTTGTAAACCTATGTGCCGGTGCGGTAGCAAGAAGGGAAGGTGGGGGAGAAGAGTCTGGCGGATCGCTCCTTAGGAAGGGGTTTGTGACAGCAGCGTTGAAGGACGCTTTCGTTTCTACTGGACCCTCAGGGGAAAAAAATTTCCTTCACCAACTCCATCTGCCCTTCCCTTCATAAAGGCCTCTCCACCTCGTCACCCACCAGACCCTGTTCCCAACCCAACAAACTCTCCATAGGCAGGCCAAGGGTGGAAGCATTTTGAGGCGGGGTAAACACCTAAGTAAGCCAGGAGTCCCAACTTAATCCAAGTCCCGGTGGCCCTTGCCGGTCAACGTTTTCGGGGTTTTTGTTCAGGTCTAGGCAGGCCGGTCTAGGTTATCTTGTCTAAGGACACCTCACGCCTATAAATCTAGAGTTTCCGGTTGAGCAATGGTTCCAATGGCGGGTCCGGGAGGGGTAAGAGGACGCGCCTCATTTTAATGGGTCTCGGGAGGCATCGAAGCGGCTCCAAACGGGACCATTACGAGCGGTTGGTCCTAAACTCAAGGACAGAACGGATGGGTTAACAACCGTAAGTGGCGAAGTTTCTCTTAGGCGACACCAGGGAAGCCATTTCGACACGCAGAAAATTCTTTAGGTAAGCGCTGGGAACCAGACCCGCGCTACAGGACCCTTACCGGGTAAGGTTTGTTTACATGCAATGCGGTCGCGTCGAAACTTCTCAGTGCCAGCCAATAGAAGACCTTGTAAGTTTGAAAGGAACAGCGGTAACAAGTTATAAAGTGTGCAAGATCCTTGTTCTTGCTTTTGGTGGCTTCCCAATTCTAACCCAATCCTCAATCACAACACCTAAGCCATACCCCTAAACAAAACGTGACCGCGATCCCCGAACAACCTACCAACAACACCCACACAATAGGACAATTAACAACCTTTGTACGCTGGTTTCCTCCCTCCTCAATCAAGTCTTAAAGTAAGGACCCTCCAGCCGGTTTCTCTTTCTCCCTAGGTCTCCTCTATGTAGATTTTACAGTAACTAGGGGACCCACCCAACGGGTTCAAAGACCTTAGGTCTACAAAGACGGGAGAAAGGAACGGCCTACCAGGGTGGCCAGCAACCAAAGGTCCGGCTCTAAAACTAACCAACCGACCGCCCACAACCAAACTTTACCGCACTGGTTCCCCCTGAACCCCTCAGCTGGAAGGGTCCTAACACCACGATTTCTCTACACAGAACTCTTGCCCACTATACCCACACAAATCAAAGCCGGATCCAAACTTCACAAAAAACCGTCCAACAACGTAAAACACTACTACATCTGATACGAACGACGAAAAATTCCCCTTCTTACTTTTGGGTTCCGTCCTTCCGGACGAAGGTGCACCTTAACAAACGATACATAAGAGAATAACTTACATTGCCACCTAACAACATATTCACCATTCCGACAACACGATTAAACCTTACAATACTCTACAGCACACCCGAACAAACAAAGGACATAGACTCTACTGGACACCAACCTCTTTATTCCAACAACTGACTCTTCTCTCTCAATACAAACTGACAGCCACCTTAGGAAACACTCCACACACTTTTTTCCACCTCCTGTTTTACCTTATTCAACCTGTCAACCCCGATCCCCTTAACCGAAGGCCAAAAAAACTGTTTTTACCATTGCTAACCTAGTGAGCAGTTACATGTCATAAGCAAAGGTGACGCTTATAAATACCGGTTAACTTAATTTTGTTTTGTGCTTCGGTTAAGAAGGCCCAGTTTACTGGTCCTTCAAACTTTCCCTGTTTTGTAGACACCAGGTGTCGTAAATTTCTTGGTGAATTTAAGTTTTCAAATGGGGTCCTAGGTACGTGAAGGGACAGAACATTTTACACCGCACTACGCCGGGACCTTTCCATTGAGGATGATAAAATTTTGGTACATAGTAGTACAATTTGTGGTTAAAGTATCCAAGGATTGTCGGTTACGTGGTTGTCAAAGACCTCGAGTTGACGCCAAGGACGAAAACAAATTTAGTCGAACAGGTACTAAAACAATAGCCTGCCTGTCTGGGTCGCGAAGGGGATTTCAACTAAATTTACCACCGGAAACGGCCAAAGTTTACCTACCTACAATAGTAAGTGTACCCGGGGGACTGTGTTAACGTGGTTGTCGCTCGCCTGAGCGGCAAAGTTGAAGCGAACAGGTAGAAACCGGAACGTCAAAACAATTGCTTGCCTGCGTAAGGCATAGGTAAACGGATAAAGTCAAACAATTTCTTTCCCTGTCTTTCGTCCGCCAACAGGGATTTTACTACAAATAGCCCGGAAACACAAATTTTACTACCCACG